AGACCATGTAGGTAGAATATTCCCCAGGGCTCCAAGGAACTGGGGTGTCGGACAATACTGGTAGCACTCACACGGGAATGATAGAAATAAAGCTTTGGTGTACGTATTTCAGGAAGACAGGTGAACACTGCGGACAAATACTGCACACGACACCGGCTCTTAACGTGAACTGGGTTTTTGGCCAAGGGGGTAACCTCTAAGTGATTAGGTGCCGGGCTGCTTGGGCCCAGCGGCTGGAGGAGGCGTCTAGGGCTGAGGCTCCGCTTGGCCCTGCCCTTTCCTCTACATCTGCAGGTACCGCCCTTTGCCTTCCTCAAAGCGCTTCTTCTCGTCCTCGGTCTCGGCACGAGCTGGGGCACCGGCAGCAACCGGCCATCCTGGCTCAGCGACACGTAGGTGAAGAAGGCGCTGGCGGCCTGGTAGCGCTCCTGTGAGTTGTCCACCACGGGGTCGGTGTCCACCAGGACCTCCATTTCCATGGACGTGTTGCTCGTGAAGGTCATGCGCCCGGAGATGGTGATGATGCAGCCTTTTCTGATCTTGTCGTGGAGGTTGATGGCGTCCACAGAAGCTGTGACTATGTTGGTCTTGCAGTGACGTGCGGCCACGATCCTGGCCACCTGGTCCATGAGCTTCATGGTGACACCTGGGTTGCAGGCTTGATCCCAGGGCCGGATCAAGCACGTGTGGGAGGCAACCAATTGATGTCTCTCTCTCACATCCATGCTTCTCTCTTACATTGCAAACTTTTAAATGTCAATTCCCAGCAAAAGTATAAAAGGAACATAATAATGAGTGCTAAATATATCCACAGAGATAGATAATCCCAAAAGCAGTCTCTGCATTATCTATAATTCACTGACCTTCCAATGTAAGAATAGAGCGTTTCAGGACATTATTAGAGCATTTAAGTAAACATTTGAAGCAAGTCTGAAAATTTTCCAATTCGAAAGCAACAGCGCCTCATTCTAACATTTTCCTTCTTCCTTTGCCTAGTTTGAAACACCCGTCCTTATAGCTCTGACAAATTTACTAATCGTTCAGAATATCTGTAAGCTGTTATGGTGCTCTATTTTCACCTGCCTTTGCATTTCATCGTGATACAAGATGAACAAAATAAAAGTTGGACTCCAGTCCCTGCACTACTGGGCTAGGGGATATCATTTTTACAGCTAAAAGTAAAATGCCAACCAGTGGACCCAGAGGCTGATTTTAATGATGCCACACTAAAAATAGCAAAACTGAGAGCTACCTGGAAGTTTTTACTTCAGATGAAAAGAGTAAAAACTCATCCTTCAGTTGCAAATCAGCCAAACCCAGAAGCAGTTAAGGCGGGACACTGAGCATCACTCAGCAGCAGGAAGGGAAGAGAAAGCCTTTCCTGGAAACAGGTAACCTTGGGCATTTGAAAGAACTTCCCAGGACAACAGCAACAAATCTACTTACACCTAAAGTGAGCTCTGAATAGCCATCAGAGAGAGCCTAATGCAGGCAAGTTACTGAGGAGGAGCGCACAGCTCAGCCATAGAGAAAGAAGGTCCAAGAAGCCAGACAAACACAGACAAGGGCAGAGGTGATTCCCAGGCCCACGTGTGACTGGCATTCACCAGGGCCGAGGCAGAAAACCTAGAGATGGACGTTCACATTCACACCTGTGATAACTACAGAAGACTAGCTCGGTTCCACGGTGTCAGGACCAGTTCACAACTTTTCTTGTATGTTTTGCTCTGGGGGTTTCTTGACTTGGAGTTCACAGTACAGAAGTGGGGGAAGGGAGTCTGTGAACTTGGAAGGAAGGTAATTACACATTTATTTACACTATCCTCTATCTGAAATTTAGCTTTTTCTTTATTATAAATGCAAATAACAAACCACAGTTTCTGTGACTTTGTCACCAATAAAATCCTATATTTTCACATTGCATCTTAAGTTGTTGCACATACCTTGAAATAGCTTCTAGTCTTTATTATTTCATATAGTACAATGCACATATATTACTATAACACCAACTGGATGTTAAGTTTGGAAAATACTGAATAGAGTAAGGTTAGACAGATTTCTGTACTATGAATTTCTCAGTCTGTGATATTGCAAAGAGGAGTGTGGATATTGGGGGTGGGGGGTTAGCATGCAAAGCTGGTGTGGAATAAGGAAGCCCTCTGAATTCCTCTCCCTTTTGTCACCTCTAACCTTTAGGACAAACTCTGCAGATGTCCCACTCAAGTCTGGTTGGTGCTACAGGGGATCAGAGGGTGGGCATACCAGCTCAAGCGTTGCTGCACATCACGAACAGAACTTTGGAAATCCTCATACCAATGTCACAGTCACATCAAACACCCAAGTGCAGTCAAAGGGACGTGCAGGTTGAGAATCACCACACTCTACGTAGGCACCATGAATATGTGGATAAAGAAGATGTGATGCATATAATGGAACATTATGTAGCAATTAAAATTAATAAAATCTTGCTATTTGTGACATGGATAGACCCAGGGTGTATTATGCTAAGTGCAATGTCTGACAGACTTAATTATATGTGGAATCTAAAAAACAAAATAAATGAATAAACAAAATGTAGAGAACAAGCTGATAGTTGCCAAAGGGGGGTTGGGGAATGGAGGTATGAGTGAAATTTAAAAAATAAAAAACAAAGAAGGTGTGTTACTTGTCTGCTCCCCCCAAATAAAGTTGGTGTCCTCAAGGATGAGTAGAAAGGGGCACTGGCCACCATCCCATGGTGACCTCCATACTAGACCTAGGTCCCTTCCCATCTTTTATTTATTTATTTTTAATTTTTTAAATTTTATTTTATCCTTACCCAAGGACATTTTTGCATTTATCTTCAGATAGAGCAGGAAGGAGAGAGGGAGGAAGAGACAGAGAGAAACATTAATGTGAGAGAGACACATCGACTGGTTGCCACCTACTTGACCCCAACCATGGCCCAGGACAAACTGCAACCGAAGTATATGCCCTTAGTGGGAACTGAACCAGGACTCTCTGGTCTGCAGACCGGTGCTCCAACCGCTGAGCCAAAAGAGCCAGAGCCCTTCCCATCTTTTAAAACATCAGCATAACAAGACCCTGTAATTAATCTGTAAAGCACCAGAACTTTGTGATCTGACACAGTTAATCCTTCCTAGTTACTCTATTTAAAGCTTTCTGAAGATAAAAGTAAGAAGACAGTTATAGATCTGGCCAGTTTGGCTCAGCGGTTAGAGGGTTAGAGTGTCGGCCTGGGGACCAGAGAATCCCAGGTTCGGTTCCCGCTAAGGGCACGTACCTCAGTTGCAGTTTGTCCCCGGCCCCGGTTGGGGTCGTGTGGGTGGCAACCAGTCCATATGTCTCTTTCACATTGATGTTTCTCTCTGTCTCTTCCTCCCTCTCTCCCTCCCGCTGTATCTGAAGATAAATGCAAAAATGTCCTGGGGTGAGGATAAAATAATAATAATAAAATTTAAAAAAGAAGACAATTATACAGGTTGCAGAGACCAGAGAAAGAGGATTAAGAAAAAGGGAAGCTCATAGCTGGCTGGTGTGGCTCGGTGGATTGAATGTCATCCCATAGACTGAGAGGTCCTGGTTCGATTCCAGGTCAGGGTACATGCCCTATTGCCAGCTTGATCCCCATTAGGGGGAGTGCAGGAGGCAGCCAATCAATGTTTCTCTCTCTCTCTCTCTCTCTCTCTCTCAAAAAATCAATAAAAACAGCCCTGGCCGGTTTGGCTCAGCGGTTAGAGCATTGGCCTGTGGTCCAGAGAGACCCAGGTTCAGTTCCCGCTAAGGGCATGTAACTCAGTTGCAGTTTGTCCCCGGCCCTGGTTGGTCGTGCGGGTGGCAACCACTCGATATGTCCCTTTCACGTCAATGTTTCTGTCTCTCTCTCTCTTCCTCTCTCTCCCTCCCACTCTATCTGAACAAAAAATGGAAAATGTCCTCGAGTGAGAATAAAAAAATAATAATAATAATGAGCCCTGGCTGGTTTGGCTCAGCGGTTAGAGCGTCGGCCTGCAGTCTAGAGAGACCCTGGTTCGGTTCCCGCTAAGGGCGCGTACCTTGGTTGCAGTTTGTCCCCGGCCCTGGTCGGTTGTGCGGGTGGCAGCCAGTCGATGTGTCCCTTTCATGTCGATGTTTCTCTCTCTCTCTCTCTCTTCCTCTCTCTCCCTCCCACTCTATCTGTACAAAAAATGGAAAAATGTCCTCGGGTGAGGATAAAAAAAAAAAAATGATAGCTGAGATTCTCCTTCCATCTTGTTTTGTGTCCTGAGAGCTTGGCTTGGATCTCCAAAGAACAAAGGAATGCCAAGGAGAATCCCATCTAACAAGCTTTGCTGAGTGCCCTGAATTGACTACACTTACCTCATACTCTGACCATTCAGAGTTCTCCACCACTGCCCACTCTTCATCAAACCTAGCATAAAATACTCCGGTCTAACTGTTTCTTCAGATCTTCATTTCCTTTTGAAGGCTTCCGTTTCCCATAAAATTTATCTTAAATAAATTTGTCTGCTTTCTTCCCGTTAATCTGTCTTTGTGAATCTCATTTTCAGATCCAGACAGGTCCCATAGAAGAGTGAAAAAAAAGCTTTTCCCTCCCTTGCAAGAGACAGAGAAACAACTACAAAAAAAAAAAAAAATCCAGTAGCCCAGTGCTTCCCAAACTTGATTGTGCACATGTATCTCCTGGGGATCTGGTGAAAATGCAGATTCAGATTCAAGGGATCTGAGCTGGGTCCTGAGACTACATTTCTAACAAGCTTCCAGGTGATGCTATGGAAGTAGACAAAGGATCTGCAGGCCTGAAGAACTGACCAGAAAAGGCCCAGTCAGGCTCCACCCTCCTTCCCAGTCACAGACCCCGACTGTCTTCCTCTCTCCACACACAGGGCAGGACCCAGCTCACTTCCTGCCATGATGTCACAGGTCCCTGGACATTCCACAGTATCCTGGAGACTAAGGCAGAGGGAGTTGAGGATCCTCCTCCTTCAACTGGAGGGGACATGGCAGTGAATAGGGGAGTGACAGTCTTTGTCCTGCTGCTGTACTGCTGTCACAGAGCTGAGCAGCTGGCTCACAACTTTTCAGGTACAGTCACAGTGGGTGGTGGTGGCAGGTAGAAAACATGCTACTCCCTGGGCCTGAATCAGGTCCCTCTTCTTCCCTCCTGGAATATTTATTCCCTGAGGGAATGAAGTGAATTGAAGCCCTTTTTAAAATCTGGAACGCCATGAGAGAGTAGCATATATTATGTATTTTAATTTTTTATTATGGAAAATTTCTAACTTACCCAAAATAGAGGAATAGTACAAAGAACCTCCATCACCTGGTTTCAATTATAAGCATTTTGCCATCCTGTTTTTTCTACACACACACACATACACATACACACACACACACACACACACACACATACACACACATACACTTGTTACTAGGAATATTTTAGCACTGTCCAAGATGTCTTATCATTTTATGAAAATGTTTTCCTGCTAAGATAAGGGCCTATTTTATTTATATATACCTACAACATCATTAATCAATAACAAGATGAACAAAAATCCTGTAAACAATTGAACATGGGCTAATACCCAGCCCGTGTTAACATCTCCCCCATTGTCTCAGAATGTCCTTTTGCAAGTGGTTGGTTCTAGTCACACCCAAGCAGCACCCATGTGCCTTTGGCTCTGGCTTTTTTGCTCTGACTACTTACATACTGAGAAATGGGACAGTGGACGGGGGAGGCCACCTTGCCCACCACTTTCCAGATGAGGACCCAGACCCAGGAACTCCATGCAGGGCTCTGCAAAATCAAATCTATTTAGAGAGAAGTCAATGAAAATTCAATGAACATTGTTAAACTATTAGGGTTTTTATTACCCCACTAGATCCAGTTACTGCAAAGCCATCCAATTCAAAAATTCTGGAGGATATGTCTGGACTATTTGGTAAGGAGTTCCTCTTATCAAACATTTGGTCTGTGTTTGTATGGACTTGGGTGTCAGTGGTGTTTTCCAGATAATCTGGTGCAAATTACACAAGGTGGAGGTGATGTACTTTGAGGCTAAAATCACATTCCCATTGCCCCAGAGTTCATGGCCTTAAGAGTCTCCAGCAGACAGCCCCCTGCTTCCTGCATTTACTCTGCTTTACTGCTTTACTCTGGTCAGCCAAGCTCCTGTCCCCTGCCTGTCCCTACCTGCCCCCGGCTCCTGTGGGTTCTCTATTACAGTTAAATTACTGTGCATGGTCACATCTTTAGAGTCCTGCCCCTCACACACAGCTGGCTTACCTGGACAATTTCTGGTCCACACAGTAGGTGCGCAATAAATGCTTGTGGTTCCCATCAATATCTACTCTTCTCCATGATCCAGAATCTAACTAGACACCATGATTTTTAGAAACTTAAAATTGCTTCTTCTGTATAATAGCTGGCCCAGAATGTGGCCAAGGTCTTCTCAAGGTGGACGCAGTTATTGCCAGAACAGCTGCACCAGCTAAGAATGCAACTGGCTACATAAATAAGGCCTGAGTTGGCAATGGCTCAACCAACCATGCAGGGGTTGTGATCTCGTGCCATCAGCAGCTCAGTGACATGAGGCCGTATCCCTGTGGTCACCCTGCCCATTCACGGCCACTTCCAGGGCAGGTCCCGACACCATTTCCCTTTTATCGGGAAAAGTTAAATGATTTGCAGAACCCATAGACTCCTGCTTAACTGTGTATATCCAGTAGCTCACCCGCCTTGCAGGGTTCTCAAAGTAGCCCACTGGAGTGCACATATCACCCCAGACAAGTTCAGGGTCTGTGCTGGAAGAAGAAGAGCATGGCTGTTGAGTAGGAATGCAACAGAACCATGGGAGAGTGTTTCCCTGTGTATGTTTGTGACACCTTTGTTTCCAGTAATAATTACTTCTTCACCCCCTTTACTCATGTGTTCCACATGAGCGGGTGACCAGAGTCTGCTTTGCCTGGAACTGTGGAGTTCCCAAGATGTGGGACATTCATGCTAAACCAGGAAAATTAGGGCAAACCAGGGCAGGTTGGTAGCCCCCACCCCAACCCAACATGTGGACTGGTCGGTCGGGGTGTCCACTGTGTTGCAGATATGGGGCTGCTGCACAGACAAAGGGTGCTGGTCAGCATGACCACTGTGTTGTAGAAATGGGGGGCTGTTTAGGGTGCCCATTGTGTTGCAGAGATGAGGGGCTGGTCAGGGTGACCATTGTGTTGTTGATATAGGGGGACTCACAGAGGCCCCTTGTCCCAGACTGTATTAGTGCTTATACACACTGCTTTATTTTAACCTCATAAATAGCCCAATATAATACAGACTCCATTTTACAGAAGACAAAACCAAAAGTCAGAGAGAAACTTGTCAAGATCATGTTCCCATGAGAGCAGAACCAGAACATGGGTTGAGTCTGTTCAACACAAAGCCCTGTCTGGACTAAGTTATAATCTTCCTAGGAGAGGTCAGAAGGATGCAAAAGGAAGAACATGTCACATTTTGTAGCAATTAAGAAAGACGTTTGTGCATACACAGGGGCAACTTGGAGAAAGTCTCAGGGAGGAGACACCAGGGGCTGGAAGGAAAATGATAACTATGCCTGAGGCCACACTTCCAGCCTATCTTTGGGGGTCAGTGTTTATTATCCAGGGAATCTGGATGGTTTCAGGTTTTCATAAATTAGTTAGAGAGGTCCCCTCACACCAGACAACTTTCTTTAGAAAGCCAACTCCCACCCTGACTGGGGAGCTCGGTCGGGGCGTTGTCCTGTGCACCAAAAGGCTGCGGGTTCAATTCCTGGTCAGGGCACACACCTAGGTTGTGGTTCAATCTCTGGTAGGAGTGCATACGGGAGGCAACCGATCAACGTTTCTCTTTCACATTGATGTTTCTCTCTCTAAAAAAAAAATCAATAAATATAAAAAAGAGAGAAAAAACTACTATAGAAAGCCAACTCCCTTGTCCATGGAGTCCCTGACTTCCTGTTTCCAGTCACCGCATTCACAAACTGCCTCAGGTCTGTGTAGAGCAAAAGGGTGTGGGTTCTGCATCACTGGCTTTCACGTGTTCTTGTGTGCTTTTCCCAAGATGAAATTCTAGTCCAAGAGATTTTGGATCCACATAAATCAACATTACTTGAAACACAAAGACCACTGGAAAAATCAATGAAGAATACAAAGAAAAAAAGCAAGTATACATTTTTTAAAAATCATAATCGTATGTATTCCTAGGGTCTAGGGTATTACATGCACAACCCCAGCATGTTAGCATTCTTAGGGCCCACTACTTCTGGGGCAAAAGCAAAGGGAGATGTGGAAGAAGCAGCTGTCCCAAACCATTTCTATAAACTGCCAGAGACTAGGGAGGTCAAACCTAGACCAGCAGAGACAAGTTCCCTTCATTTTGGGGTGGTCTCTGGGGTATATGTGCAAGCAAGGTCTTGGGCTTGGGATGCAAATGGGGCTCGGCCACTGTAGGAACATGGGGCACAGGAAAATAAGCTTCTGAGAGCAGGGCAGCCACCATGAACCCATCCCACAGGATTAAACTAAGGTCTGAAAAAGGATATACCCAATGCCACACTGCTAGTAGTGAATAAAAGCAAAGAATGTACTTTTTCAAAGTGAAGCTTCATGTTGTTCAAAATGCACATAAATAAATAAAGTAGCACACTAAGAACCAAGACAGAATATTTGGTTGACACTTGCTAAGGGGAAAGCCAGAGATCAGAAGTCTACACACTGTGCATAAAAATGCATAAAGCAGCAGGTAAATTTGGCATTTTCTTGAAATTTTACATCCAGATGTAAATTCCAAGTCCTTGGATTAGCTCACCCAACATCTGCCAAGACCCAAACTACTGGGTTCAAGGCGGTCAGATGATGCCTGACTCTGTTTACATTATTAACTTTCCAACACATTTCCGATGGAACTTGAAAATTCTATTAGCATTCCAGTCTAATATTTTAAAATAAAGTATGGACCAAAATGTTGATGAGAGTATACATTTATGTTTTTCCCCATTTTTTCCCCATGCTCTTCATCAAAAAAAGCCCATATGAAAATGAATAATCAAGCTGGGCATGATAAGCCTCATGGACAGAAATTCTCTTCCGGGAATGAAGACAGACTTTTTCTTAATGGTAAATGCAACCTGGTAATTTCCCTGCCTGAGTCCAGAGGGTAGTGGGGAGTACAGAGGGGCCAGACACATGCAGATGGAGACAGTGCCTTGACAGGGGATGTAACGTGTGGTTGGAGAGCATGGCTGCTTCACCAGGTTAGGCCGATTTCTCATCTCTTTCAGGGCTGAGGGACAGCCATGCCCACCCCTACCCTGGGTCTGACCCTAGAACACTAGGCCTAGAGGAGCTGGCAGGAATGTTGTCCCTGCAGGCAGGTGGACGCCAGAAGGGCAAGGAAGGTGCTGTCACAGTGCCCATGCCCTCCCAAATATTCAGTTAAGTCTCTGCTCCTCTCCTGGGGTGGGTAGGGTGGTGAGAGCCCAGAGTGTCCCCTCAGGATGTCTCCAGGAGGAAGGAAAAACATTCCTCCAGGAGACAAGTTAGCTGAAATGAAAACCAGTGCGCCAAGGCTCCAAGGCTGAGGAGCCAGCATCCCATGGGTGACAGATCTTTTCTTTACCCTAAAGAAGGGACACCTGTGCAGCTCCTAGGACACCCATGTGAGACCCCATGGTGGGCCTAGAGGAAGGATCAGGTCACAGCTCCCAAGCCTAACGGTATAGCAGGTGTGGGGGAGGGAAGCTGACTCAAATACATATCCCCGGGCCCCACCCAGTGACGCTGCAGGTGGCCCAGGAACCTACATTTCAGCCCATTCCTCCAATTAGCCTTCTCCAGTGAGCTGACCTCTCATGTTTGCAAGGACTGAACAAGAATAGGATTTTAGTTAAAATCAATTTCTAACACCTCTGGGTTTGTCCCACTCATTGATGTCTGCAAATTGCCTGATGGTTATAACTTAAATAAGCTGGACACCTTTTTGGCAGTGGGACCACAATAAGAATGGACCACCCATGAGCTGGAGTGGACCCAAGAACACAATCTCTCTGCATCGTACCCATTACATTCACTGAATAAGCAGAAGGAAGTAAGAATGGACTGAAAATTCCAAGACAAGCTGAGAATGAGAATCAAGGGGGAATAGTCTGAATCAGGGGTAAGAGGTGAGGGAGAAAAAACTGAAGAAGGCAAACCACTGCCAGAGAAGCCACCAGTCCACCAGGGTCTTCACAGGGACCATGAAACTTCCAAACCTGCCATGTGTGCATGGAGGGCTGCAGGTGGCACTGCCTAACACCACTGTGTTTGTCATCCCTGATCCTCTGCTCAGTCCTGAGACTGGTCTGATGGCCTCCACAGAGCCCTTCCTCCCTGAATGACCCTCTGAGCTGCTGTGACACACTCTAGATTTCTCTGGGCCCCAAGGCAAATGCCACGCTTTGCTGTAAGGGAATCTGTTTAATTGAACTGTTTTGCTCCCAACTATCAAGCCAGGACCAGCCACTTTAGGGACTGAGAGATAACAAAGGTTAAGTTAAGAGTTTGGGGAGGGTTGGGGAGGGGCTAGCCTAGGAGGGGATTCAGGGCCAAGAAGAAGCTAACCTATAGTCTAAGGCAAGGAAGGAGGTAGCATCTGGGGTTGCCAAGGAGGAGGGGCAGGGGAACAGACAGCCTTGTCCTCAGGTCACCATCTTATGCAATACCTGCTCCACTCTGTCTTGATGAACTGATGTCGATGAAAGGAAAACCCAGGACACCATTCCTTTTTGGCCACTTGTCCCAACAGAAGCTCTGTTAAGTGGAGCCTTCTGGGCCACTCACCAGTACTTGGAATGCAAAGAATCCACCCAGCTGCTCTTCAGGTGGCTTCCCCATGAGCAGCGGTGGGTGGCGGCCCACTGAACCTGTTTTAGACCTACCAGCTTCTTGACAAAAAGCCTGAGAGTCAGGCCCTGGCCGGTTTGGCTCAGTGGTTGGAGCGTCGGCCTGCAGACCAGAGTCCCGGGTTCAGTTCCCGCTAGGGGCACGTACCAAAAAAAAAAAAGCCTGACAGTCAGGCACTGCTGACTGGCACAGACCCAGACCATCGGTGAGCCCAGAGCCAAGCCATGTCTGTCCCTGACATGTAGCACGTGAAACAGAAATGTATGACAAATTAAATGAGGCCAGACCCCAGCGTCCCATTATACCATTTTCCTCTGCTTCTGTTCCTTCCCCGCAAAAAGCCCATGATTTTAGTAAATGACATAGTCCACCAACAATGTTACAAATGCATATTTGGTTCTGAGATGCTACCCTTGTCTGCCTTTTTACAATGCTGGGTGTCAAGCTCACTATTATTGTTTCTAAAAGAATGCTAGGGCCAGGAACAGCAAGCCGGGCACTTCTGGCTTAACATCCTGCGCCTATTTGCTTGGGTGGAAAGGTAAGGGAGACTCTGGGAAGGCTTGTGGCATGTACTATTCAAAGACCTGCATCCATGGCATTAAGGCTTTCTTAGACTGTGCAAATTAGTGTGCACGTGTGCAGTGCAAATATCAGCGGCATTCTCACTTCCAATGTGCAGATCAGGAATTAAAATCACACAGGCAGCACTGGTGACTCTCTGGCACCCAGGAAGATCGGCCTCTTAAGCAATGTTCTGCGCCTCCTCCTTAAGCTGCAGGACATGAAGAAAGGTATGAGCGGGAGGAAAGCTGCATTAGTGGCAGGCAGATCAGATGAACTGAGGTTGACTGCAACTCTAAAATATTGTGGGTTTTTTTTTATCTTAACCATTTAAACTATTTGAGTATAATTCAGCTAGTGAAGAACTCCTATGCTGGCAACAGCTTCAGTGTGGCAAAACTGAACTGGGCTCTGCCTAGCTGGTAATAAAATTCTTCCAGTCCTACTCCTGTGTTTTTCAGATGCAAAAACAAAGGCACTCCCAGGTTAAGGGAGTGCCCTGTATTCCACAGCAAGCTATAGGCACATTGTGTACTGGCACCCAGGCAGGACTGATCACCATGGTATGAAGAGGTAGTCAGAGTTTTGCTAGAGGAGACAAAAGCCTTAGCATTTTTTTGCGGGGGGTTGGGGAGGGTCACAATAGAAGCCTGAATGGGTGAGGTGGCCCACTGGCAGGAAGTCTGATGTGCCAGTGAGCCAGGGAATGAATGGATGGTGCCACTTGGATGCAGATGAAGTCTCCCAGACCCATGGGAGAGTTCCTCCTTCACTTGCTGGGAAGGGAAACCAAGGCTGACCTGTCGCTTTCTCACTCCCTAATGTAATAATGCCTCCAAGCTGCAGAGGGAACAGGAAAGAAATTGCTGAGTGGGATGGAGAGCAATCACTCTCAGTAAAGATAATGATGGTCCATCTGCATAAAGATATGTATTTGCAAAACGTTGTAGTAGAGAGACAGATTGTCTCTGGCTACTTATTAATGGAAGTGGGTTGCTGCTCTGTGTGTGTGTGCGCACGTGCATGATCCCAAGTGTATAGGTACGAGTGTTGACATGTCTGAGAAATAGGTGACAGGAAAACAAATGGATGGGTTATACAAGAACAATGTGAGGATTTACAACAGTTTCTACCCTGAAATAATTGTAGACTTACAAAAAATCTGTGAAAGCAGTACAAAGCATTTCCTGTATTCCCCTTAACTAGTATTCCCTGGTGTTAATATTTTACATGACAGTACAATTCCTAAAATCAGGACATTAATAACAGTGATGCAACACTGTCAAATGGCCTACAGACCTGATTCAAATTTTGCCAGTTATTTTACTAATGCTTTTTTTTGTTGTTGTTGTTGGCTCTAGGATCCACCCAGGATTCTACTTTGCATTTAACTGTCATGTCACTTTATCTCCTCCAATCGGGAGGTTCCCGGATGTGTCTTTGTTTCTCATGACCTTGAAGAGTACTGGCTAGTTACTTTGTAGACTCTCTTTCAATTTGAGTTTGTCTGAATGATTAGATTCAGGTTATATATTTTTGGCAAGAATGTTTTTTAAGAAGTGATGTTATGCTTTTCTTTATACAGTACACGAAGATATGCTTGACATAAACATATCTCATTACCTTGATCAGTTAGTTATTCAAGGTAGTGTCTATTAGGTTTCTCTATAATCATATTAATATATTTTTCATTTGTAACTAATTAGTACTTTGTGGGGAGATACTTTCAGACTATGAAAATGTCTTATTTTTTATCATATTTTTACCTATTAATTTAGCATTCATTGCTTTTTACCTTCAAAAACTATGACTGTAGTAGTTGCTAAAAGGTGACTTTTCTATTTCTGTCATTCCTTCTACATTGATTAGTTAGAACTCTAATGTACAGAAGAGCTGTAACTTCTTTCCTATTGTTTATCCTGGGAAAGGAAAGGAGCAAAACCTCCTACCTCAGAGAGAGGAGTCGCAAATGCTCACACTCTCAGGACTCAGGCAAATATCTGCTGCTATTGGAGGAGTTAGAAAATTAAAACTCTCTATCTCAAGAAAAAAAATGAACTAGGTATTGTATTGGACTCAGGACTCTACACTAATACTGTAGAAGTTGTTCTATAGGCTCCCCCAAATTTTTCTGTTTAAACGATCATATTTACAAATAAGGGCATTTGTCTTTCTGACATTTATGCCTTTTGTTTCTTTTTCTTGCCTTATTGCACTGACCAGGACCTCCAGTATGATTTAAATAGAAGTGGTGAAAGAGAGCATCCTTGGCTTCTTTCAGACCTCAATAGGAAACAGTTTAGTCTTTTGTCATTAAGTATGATGTTGGCTGTAGGTTTCTCATAGATTTAATATCAGTTTGAAAAAGTTCTTTAATGTTCTTATTTTGCTGAGCAGGGGAACCTCTTGGAAACTCACTCATTCTATTTCCTGGGATAGAATTATTCTGTCACATTAGTGAGAGGCATGATGGAACGTGTAGTGGAATTTCTCCTTTCCCCAATATTTGATTGTTTAAGCATATCCTTTTATATTTAGCTTCTTAGTGATGTCTGTCATACTCTAGTGGATATTTCATGACATGGGGTAGAAGATAAAGGAAAAAGAGACATAGACATGGCTGGCTGTGTACTTGTTGATGAATAACCAGTGTGTGTGTTGACAAAGGAAATCTAGCTGATGCTTTCAGCACCTTTCTGAACTGATGGGGAGGGGAATGAAAGGCTTACAGTGGGCTTGGGAGACAGTGCAGGGGAGAGGCTAAGAACTTGGGGCTGAGAGTCATGGCCTGGTGGAAAAGAAAAATATAGAAGTTTGGAATTAAACCATAATTGTCAAATTTTGATTATTGTGCTTAATTTTTCCCACAGAAGAGGAGAAAGAAATGTTATATCAGATTAAAAGCCTAACAAGTCTGGAAAAAATCATTGACAGTCTTCAAAGAACTTTAGGTAAATGGAGCTTGGGGCCATCCTGGTGACAGGTAAATGTGGAGGATGGATCCTTAGGCTGGGCCTTTTATTTTTTCTGGTATGAAGAGGAATGTCTACCCAAGGGACATGTGTGCTTGTGAACAGCACTCTGAAAAAGCAGGTGACTCAGTCTCCCAGGGTAGACCAGCTGTAAGTCCCATAGGAGTTTCCTGGTGGTTGTCAATGTGGAGACATCTGCCCCATTCGAGTCTAAATTTGAGGAGTCATGGGCCATGTGTGGGCGTCATCTCTCCCTTCTTATCTAAACTTATTGAGAGGCCATTTCACTCTCCCAGGAATAACTGTGATGCATGAGGCCACTGTCACACACCCACATTGTGGTGAATGCCTTCTCCTTGTGACCAGGCCCAGGAAAGTCCCCAGACCCTGTCACATGTGCCTCTCAATGAAGCTGGCCTCCCACTTGAGGCTGATTCTCATATCTGTGGGGTCCCCTTACCTCCTGCCCTTCCCACTGCCTTTTCTGGTATGACATCCTAACTGCTGAAGGTCCACGCATTTCTCCTGTTGCTTCTGCCCCTGGCTCTATGCTTCTCCCCAGAACTTTCCAAAACACCTCTAAGCCTCTTCTCCAGGCCAGTCCTCCTCCCGTCCTCTGGGCCTCTCTGAGTTAGACTCTGTGGTCACATTGACAGTTCAATACCTCCAGCATTCTACATCCCACACATCTGTCCACACACCCTAAGGCTGCATTGGTTCTAGGGACACATCACACCATTAGTTTCAAGCTAATGTTAATGAAAACGTCTAAGGATTTGGTAAATGTGCTCTTGCTAAGCCACATGCAGTTGGCTTTTGTAGATCCAAGTGCAGGACCAAACATTTAAGGTTGGTCACCTTAATTCAACCTTTAATGATTACTGAGTATCTACCATTCACCAGGCACTGTTCTCAGTTTTTAGGATTCATCACCATAGACACAGAGACCCCTGCCCTCGTGGAGCTTACATTACAAGGGAGGGTCATATGTGTCTCATTGTTCCAGCCTGTTGGGAAATTCCGGGGTCCTGACTCTTCCAATCAGCTGCTCCTCCAAACCCCTGATCATCTTCAATGAGGCAAGCCTGCCATCTTGTCCTTTAAATGCCAATGAGGATGGAGTCTCAGGCACATTACTAGACACCTGTCAGTTGTACAGGTTGTCATCAGGCACAGGCAAGGAGCGACTCTGAAGTAGGATTCTCCCCATCTCAGACTTTGCAGGGCCAGAGCCAGCCCTGGGGCCACAAAATTTTAGGCCCCAAGGTCTGCACCCCCTCCCACAGTAGGACCAGTTTAACACAAGCAGAGGTCGAAAGGGAGGGTAGTGGTGGCTCAACCTGCTGCAGACTTACCAACTGTACTGTCATCCAGCCAATTTCTGCTGCTCTGATGCAGATTTCAAGGGAGACTTTGCCGAATCCCCAGTTTCCTGGGATTGAGTGTTCTGACATGGAAACAGTAAACTCTCCTGTAACTCAACTATCTAAAAATGGAGTCTCTCCACTTAAATATGATCTTGTAAGTCACCCCAGCACCTATACATTTGGGGGAAAGGCAATGGAAGCTCCCTGAATGACAGTGGGGCGTACAGAACTTGTTGTTCGCCAGCAATGCTTGGACAGGAAGGACCAAGTGTCCTTGACCTCCCCAATATAACATAACAGCAATGGTTCCCTAGCGAGCTGCCCTTGACGGGAGAAGCCCAGCAAAGCTCAGAGAAGACCCCCACTGGGTTTTCAGGCAGAATGCAGTAGAAATTAGATATTAAGCCAAACAGACTAGCTGAGCAAGCAGATTGCAGCCTGGCCTTCTGGGTTGTTCCATCTCCACTCTGTGCTCCTCCATCTCAGCTTCCTCCTGTATCCTGTATCCTGAATTCTTACTCCCCCAAGAACCTGTTAGTTCTCTCTCCTCCACCTGACTCACTGCCAACCTCACCTAAACCCATACTTCCACTTTTTTCTCCATGCAAATAATGCCCATATGAACCCTGAATGCTCTGGGGTGTCATCTTGCATCTTTAATATCCTCTGAGCATCTCCAGGGCGATGTCTGCACCTTAATTAAACATGGAATGCCCCATATCGGTCTCACTCCCCGACTCTCTTCGTACATCTCCTTCCAGTCATCTAGCTCCTCTGGGGAAACTGAAAAGGAGACTGCATTCACTGAGCTTCTGATCTACATGAACCTAGAGGATCTGACTAGGTGCTGGTGGGAGCTGGGTAGTGGCTCAGAGTGCAGGATGGGCTGACCTGGGTTCAAATCTCTGCCCAGACCTGAATGAGTTGTGTGACATTGGGGTGATCTTGGGCAAGTGACAGCAAGCACCTCCTAAGCTTCAGCTTCTTCATCTTCAAAGCAGGGTACTCAGAGCACCTGCCTCATAGGGGCAAAGAGGGTTGAGTACCGTTTGCTGAGAGCTTAACGTGGTGCCTGCACACACACCTGTCCACTGGACCTGTGGGAGGGCCACACTTTAAAAGACAAGGAAAGTGTTTGCTGTGGGTCAGGGACAACAAAGGAGGGAATCTAAAGCTGCTTCTAGCCCCACACCCCTCAATCTCACAACCCCATCAACGTTCATTAATGTGAGGGATCCACGGGAGGGTCTGCAATGCAGGCTAATAGGAACACCTAGAATTTATTAAGAACATCTCCTCTTTTCAAACAGTAAACAATCTCAAGCAAAGAAGAAAGAAATATAAAAGTTTGTTCAAAGCATCCAAACACCACAGGCTGAAAGAAAACCTAAACTGAGAAACCAAGACTGCCTGAGGGACTGACCACTCACTCCCACCCCGTGGAATAAAAATAAAACAGAATTACCAATTATCCAGAATAAAGAAGAATCATTTTATTCAAGGAGTACCAAATAAAATGAACATATTTAAATATTAAGTTGAAGGGCCCTGGCCAGTGTGGCTCAGTTGGTTGGGCATCGTCCCATACATCAAATGGTTGCTGGTTCGATTTCCAGTCAGGGCACATGCCTAGGTTGCAAACTCAACAATTGGACTCAATAATCTCAGGTGGGGGATATGCAGGAGGCAGCCAATCAATGATGCGCTCTCACATCTATGTGTGTGTCTCTCTCTCCCTCTCTAAAAATCAATAAAAATATTTTTTAATGTTGTTAAACATTAACAACGTTAACGTTTTTTTCTTAAAAAAAAAAAAAAAGAAAAGAAAATCTAACCCGGCTGGTGTGGCTCAGTGGTTGAACATCAACCCATGCACCAAGAGGTTGCCAGTTCGATTCCCAGTCAGGGCACATGCCCAGGTTGGCCAAATCCTAAGTGGGGGGGCATGCAGGAGGCAGCCAACTGATGTTCTCTCTCATTGATGTTTCTCTCTCCCTCCCTCCCTCCCTCTCTGAAATCAATAAAGAAAAAAAATTTTTTAAAAAATCTAATTGAGCCTGAAAAATAAGAATGTTCAAAGGTTGCTATTATCTAACAGAATGAGTTTCAAAGAAATATAACTTCAGAGCCTGTATAGTCATAATGGTTTTTCAAAGAAACAGAACTAACAGGATGTATACATAAATACAAAAAATTCTTGCAAACAATTGGCTCATGCAATTTCGGAGGCTGCAAGTCCCAAGATCTGCAGTCTGCAAGCTAGAGACTCAGGAGAGCCACCGGTGTCCTTCCGGGAAGAGCTGATGTTTCCATTAGAATCTGGAGGCAGAAAAAGACTGATATCCCCATCTGGAAGGCCATCTGGGAGGAGGAAGTCCTTGTTATTTGCAGGAAGGTCAGCCGTCTGTTCTAGTGAGGCCTTCAACTAATCAGATGGGGCCCGCCCACATTAGGGAGGGCAATCTGCTTTACTCAGTCTATTTATTACAATGTTAATCTCATCTAGAAACATCTAGAATAATGTTTGACCAAGTATCTGGGTACCTAGTGGTCAAGATGACACATAAAATTAACCATTACATCCTGTGAATAGTTCTGTCCAGGGAGAGCCATAGCCTATGTAGCCCTGAGAGTCAGCCCTCCCATGTCACCCTCCTGCTGCAGCATCTGGAAAGGGCACACACACACATACAAAGTATGCATGTACACATAGAGTAAATTTCATTGCCCCATGAAGATTCAGAACATGCACATTGGGTTTCCACAGTGTACAGATAAAATAGCATTCCAGGGAGTGCATGTGGCTGACTTAGATGGAAAGCCAGGGCTGAAATGTGTCACCCTCAGTGTGGCCAGGCTATTTACAGCCAGTGTTCAACATTGAGGGTGGTTAAATATTTTTAATATCATCCCCAACTGAAACCAAGATCTCTACAAAGAAAAAAAAAAATGTTTTCCAATCCTAGGAAATGATCCAATTTCAAGTAATTTTCAAGGCATTTAAATTCTGGTTTAGCAAAATGAAGTAGGCTATGGCTCAGAGACAATGGGAAGTACTTTGGGAGCTGGCCCAGCCCTTGTACTAGTAAACCTTGTTATCACCAGTATTTTAGCTACAAAGAATTTGACATAACCAGCATTTTTAGGGGGTGACAAGAAAATTTCTTTGAACAAAGTTTCTTCCAAGTGTTCATACCCAACCTGGTTCTGGTTGTAGATGAGCCCTACCTCTTGAGGCGACCAGGCTGAAAAGTGTTATTTGGGTTTAAATGTAGGATTGCCTCATTTCTCCAGAAAGGTAGGTTTGGGAAAGTTAATGAATCTTGTCTCAGAAACAACCCTGGATAGAGAACTTCTATTCCTTTTGTGTGGTTTTAGCAATGAATTGGTATTCCTTCTAAAATATTATTTTAAAAGGCAATACAAATCTCAGAGGGAAGGGGGACAGAGGGGGTGGGGCAGGAAGAGATTAACCAAAGAACTTTTATGTATAACCCATGGGCACAAACAATAGTGCTGTGAAGGTCTGGGTGGGTGAGGTGGGAGCAGGGTGGGGGGGTTAATGGGGAGAAAGGGGATGGAGGACACCTGTAATACTTTGAACAATAAAGATAAAAGTTTTAAAAACTCATCAAGCCCAGTGGTGTGGCTCAATGAATTGAGTGTCATCCCATGGACTTCAAGGTCTTGGTTCAATTCCGGTCAGGGCACATGCCTGGGTTATGGGCTGGATCCCCAGTGAGGGGCACATGCAGGAAGCAGCTGATTGATGTTTCTCTCTCACATCAATGTTTCTATCTTTTCTTTCCTCTGTCTCTAAAAAATAAATAAAAACATATTTTTTTAAAAACTCACCAAACAGTATTCTTCAAAGAAGTGCATTATATTGTTTGTAAGTTATACCTTAATAAAGTTGATTTAACCATTTTAAAAGGCAATTAGAGATTGGATTAAACTATACCATTTTATTTGTAATTGTTGGCTTTATGCTTTTCTCAAAGATAGAAAAGTCCTATCCTCTTTCCCTGACTCAGTGAATCACCTGTAAAATATAAGACTGGGGGCTTAGAGTCAGAGAATATTTGTGATGAAATGGCCTTTTGAGGCCTTTCATCCAACCCTTCGATTCTAGGAAACTGAGGCAGAGAGAGGACACACAACTCATTAGTCACCGAGTAAGTCAGTGGAAGAACGATGCAAAAACCTCTGATTTCCAACCTTATCCCATTTCTAAGACAGCATTCTGCAGTCCCTCTGTCAATAAATGGATATTTCAGTATTGTTATTTTCTATTTTTGTTTCCTACTTGACTCTGTATTAGTTTGCTCAAATTGCCAAAACAATGTATCACTTATTGAGTGGTTTAACCAACAGAAATTTATGTCTCACAGTTAAGATCAAGGCCAGGATTGGTTTCTTTTTCTTTTTCTTTCTTTTTTATTTATTGATTTAAATAGAGAGAGGAAAAGGGGGAGGGGGGAGAGATTGATTTGTTGTTCCATTCATTTACGTATTCATGACCAGGGATCATACCCACAACAACCTTGAAGTACCTGGATGACTCTGTAACCAACTGAGCTACCCAGCCAGAGTAGGGTCAGTTTCTTCTGAGGCCTTTCTTTCTGGCTGACAGATGGCCATCTTTTCCCTTCCTCACTTGGTCTTTCATCTGTGAGTGCATCCCTGGTGTTTCCATGTGTGTCCAGATCTCTTCTTCTTATGAGGACACCAGTCAGAATGGATTAAGTCCTACCATAATGGCCTTATTTTAACTTAATTACCTATTTGATACCCTATTTCCAAATACAGTCACATACTGAGGTACTGGGGGTTAAGTTTCAACGTATAAATTTTGAGGAGACACAGTTCAGCCCAGAACACCTCTCAAACATTTTTAGAGTACTTTGTGATTTAAAAATTGTTTCCATGAGGGATTCCAAAGTGGTGGCAGAGTTAATGGAAGCTACACAGACCATCTTCCAGGACCAAACTGGAATTATAACTAAAATAAAGACAAATCGTCAGGAAAAAGCAACAGAAAAGCAGCTGGAGAGGACCCATATAACCAGGGACAGTAAAAAGACACTAAATCAAGCCTGGTAGGAACGGCGGAGGCACCAGAGGGTGGGCTGGGATCCCGCAGACAGCAGCTGTTTGAGCTGTGAGCAGCTCCCTCAGGGTTAACATCCCACAGCATAGAGGGCCAGAACAGAGCACTATATTAGCTACAACCACTCACCTTGGGGTCTGACGGAGGGAGGGCAGACTGGACTGGAACTGTGTGGACTCAGGAGCTTGGAGAGCTGGGAGGGCAGTGGGAGTTTTTTTGCTGAATCACTCCCTCACAGGACAGTAGCCATCTTACTCAAAGAGCCGCTTTCTAGAGCCCTCCGGAGAAACAACAGAAATTTAACACCACCCAGAGAAATGCACATTGAGGCTCATTAACAGCCAGCAAGCATCTGCCCCATCCTCTGGAAATCCTCGTACCCTGAACAACTGAGAAATTTTTTCATTCAGTTGAGGGCTACAACCCAAGGCTCATGAAGTAACTGAGACCAATAGCCTCCAGGCAAAAAGCTAGAGGATAACTGAACGTTTTCTGGGCTTGCAAATCTACCCAGGAAAGTAAGACTTAACAGTGGTGTTTAATATGGGTCCTCCCATACTCATCCAAACCTAGTAGAGGGAGTCACAATCAGCAGAACATCAACACCCACAGGGAAAATTTGGCAGACTCCAAAACCCACTAAGACGGCCAAAGTGGTGAAACAAAGAAACAAATCCCAAATGAAAGAACAAGAGAACTCCACAAAAGAAGAGATAAATGAAATGCAGTTGAGCAAGTTATCAGAGGTAGAGTTCAGAATGATGATAATGATGAAGCTCAATAGCATGAGTAAAGAACTCAACAGCATGAGTAAAGATATAGAAACATTGAAAAGCAATTAACTGGAAATAAAGAATGACATAGCAGAAATAAAGAACATATTGGGCCATGGCTGGTTTGCCTCAGCAGTTAGAGCATCGGCCTGTGGTCCAGAGAGACCTGGGTTTGGTTCCCGCTAAAGGCATGCGCCTTGGTTGCAGTTTGTCCCTAGCCCTGGTTTGTCGTGCAGGTGGCAGCCACTCGATGTGTCCCCTTCTTGTCAATGTTTCTCTCTCTCTCTCTCTCTTCCTCTCTCTCCCTCCCACTCTGTCTGAACAAAAAATGGAAAAATGTCCTCGAGTGAGGATTAAAAAAAACAAAAAACACACATTGGAAGGAATAACCAGCAGAGTAGAGGAAGCTGAGGACCAGATGAGTGAATTAGAAGAAAGGGTAGAAAAAAATCACCCAGTCAGAAAACCAAAACAAACAAAAAAACAATTAAGAAACAGGAAGACAGCTTAAGA